GGGAAGCTCTATTTGTTTTTATTACAGCGGAGGCTTACGCAATAGAACTAGTTCTCAATATGATCAAACAGAGCAAACAAAAATATTTCTTAATATTTTCGGTCTCACTACCCGTCCTAATGTCTCTGAAGGGAAAAATCCAATAACCCACTTATTATCAAAGTATTATCTAAAATGAGCAGCCCTACTTGCAAATATAAAGACATCAAATTATGTTGGATTCCTAGCCATATCAGATTGGAAGGTAACAATAAAGCAGAACTAGCAGCCGAATCAGCTTTAGATATGGCTGTAGATTCAACGACTAAAATCCCATACACTGACTTTAAGGAGGTCATTAACATATATATGCAAAAGGAATAGCAATGGCGCTTAGACGATTACCCACACAATAAGCTTTTCGCAATTCAGCCCAAACTAGGAGAATGGAAGTCGGATTTCAGATAATCTCGAAAAGACCAAGTAGTACTGATTCGCTTACGCGTTGGCCACACGAGAATAACTCACTCGTACTTGTTAAACAACAGCCAGTATGCCAAGCATGTGAAACAGTATAGACTATTAAACATTTATTAATTTAGTGTTTCAGACATTGCTCTCTCAAGATAAAAATGTTATAATATAAACAAAATGTATGAAAAAGCAAAAGTCGATGACACATCATTTCTTAAAACAGTCGGCCACTACAAAAAATCAAATGAGAATGTCAATAAAATCAATTTCTCGACAAACTATCTGAAAAAATACATCAATGAAACCAGACTCTTTACAAAAATACATCAATGAAACCAGACTCTTTACAAAAATACGTCAATGAAACCTGATCTACAAACTGATATCTTACAAAGAATACATATCCTATTCATACGAATCTATTGTAAAAATCTTATCAGCATTTAAATAACCCATTGAGGTTGATATGCCGTAAAACAAAACAAAATAAACCTAAATATTTTGAACACAATTTTATGGTTTCAAATACAGATAAAATTTATTGTTGGTCATTTTGCTTTAAAAATGTATTGTTGGTAATTTTACTATAAATATGTAATGTTAGTAATTTTTTAATATATAAAAATGTATTGCTGGCATTTTTCATCATAAATATTTATTTTTATACTTTCATAGTGTTTGGTGCTTGTTTGAGGGGTCCCCTATTTGCCCATAGCTTGGACCCTAATTGGTATTACCAACTCGAGTCTGGTGGACTTGGAAACAGCAGCAATTAAGAGGTGATTCCACCGTCTTCAAAACTTTCCAATCACCTGATCAGAAGCATTTCTGCCAGATGTATCGTCATACCCAGGACTTGTTTATATTGGAGTTGGCTTCTTAAATATATCCAGTTGGTATGACACAATTAAAAAAAAAAATCAATGTCACTATATTTATACGAGTGGTAATGTGACGGGGTGGGGACAGTATTTATATATAATTATTAATAATAAAATATACCTTATTTAAATCTGTACTCTGTTTTACGGATTTCTTTCAACAGCCGAGGATTGTGTGACAAGACCTTCCCTGTGCCCAATGCCCGTTAGTGTCAAAAGCATTCTGGGTAATTGTTCTTAAGGAAATTGTTGAAATCTATCGTGTTTTACAGATATGGTATCTTCACCCCATGTCTAACTATATTTGTACATCTTCATGTGGCTGAGTTTTGAATCCAGTGTTGATCTTTTATTAGACTGGTTGCCACCCACGGATAGACAGCCCAGTCTGCTCTGCTATTTAACCCATAGCTGATGTAGGTCTGGGGAAAAAATGCTTTCATTGCTTTTACTAGTATTTATGCGAAAGTGGACGACCATAAATGTGGTTTCATATTTTACTATTACACCGACCTCACTTATTGACTTAATGCGCATGATCAGTTCCGCCATTACTTCATTGCTTTTGGCCAGATGAGCATAAAATAATAGTCGTGGAAAAGACAGGTGTAATAGTAAAATAATATCAATTTTTCGGTTAATTTGCAATGTAACACCCGCGCTCAGTTTGCATTAAAAATTTCCAGAATACTTACATTTAGGTGTAATTGTATATGCTCCATTCAAATCTGGCTTGATAAATTTGATAAAATCTACCGTTTTAGAGTTATCGACAGTAAAAATTCGGATTCATTCGCGTCGTTGGCAGCAGCCATTACTCGCATTGTTTGCATACATTCGCCGCGGAAAGCTAAACGCGGAAGACTACGGAAAGCTACGCGCGGAACTGATCTTTTGTGACTAAATTTGTCTCAGTTACTGCGCACGAGAACTATTTATGTAGATACGCTCAGTTTTCACAATGATACCTACACTGATAGCTATTCTGCAGCAAATGCATTCAAACAACGCCAGTAATAGCTGCTCGCGACGCGAATGAATCCGAACTTTCAGTGTCGATAACTCCAAAACGATAGATTTTATCAAAATTATCAAGCCAAATTCGAATGGAGCATGTATAATTACACATAAATGTAAGTATTTTGTTAATGTGAACTGAGCGCGGATGTTACACTGCAAATTAACCAGTTTTTCTCCCCGTGTCACTTGCTTAAACACTTAAAACTGTATCCACGGTGTTTACATATTGTCGATATAAAGACAGCAACTTGTAATGAAAAATAGCCGGTTTTTTTTGCTAGTGTCAAAGTTTAATAAATAAATAGCTATATTAACATTAATTTACAAAGAAGACAGAAGGACAACACAAAAATCCACAATCATGTTAACCCTTCTCTGTGTAAAATCTTGAGAGAGGCGCAAGTTTAAATGACACTCATAGTTAAAATCGCAATTTGGCTGCGATAATAGAAAGCTGATTTACTTGACCCCTCACTAAGTCAGGTTTTGATATAAGGTCGGTTTTTAAACGTGGAGACCCAAGTGTTTCCACTCGGACCATAGGTCATAGCTGGTCCAAGCTGATCAGAGCTCGTCTAATCTAGTCATAGCTGGTCTTAGCTCGTCCAAGCTGGTCAGATCTCGTCCAAGCCGGTCAGATCTCGTCTAAGCTAATCTAAGCTAGTCATAGCCGTTGTAACACCTGTGCCAGGTAAGTCTCCTGCGATAATAGTAAGTAGGTGTGTTTACGAGCAGACTTTATGTTTATATTTTTTATGTAAGTAAAGCCGTTAAAAGGAAATTAATGGCAATTGCCATTTTTTTTGTAAGAATAACGTCTAATTAGAATGATAAAGGACATATTTGTTCATGACCAGATAAATTTCTAGAAAAGATCCAGAGAAAAAACGTAAAGTCTTTAATCGTGTATACCATGAGGATTTTTATGACATAATTAATATATAAAACAGGGTGGGATTAGCATTATACACGATTTCTTTAAGCAATTATACACAAATTTAAACCTCTTAATTTCTCTTTTGACGTAATTTTGAGTGCAGCAACTAAAAAACAAAAAAAGAAGAGGAAGAAAATAAGGAGATAATGAATAAGCAAAAAGTGTTACTAAAGTTATTTTATACTGTATTTAAGATTTCTACTAGTTTAGTTTAGGACTTTCTTTTATATTTATTAGACTCAAGTATAAAAAACATTAAGCGAAAATTTAAGCAATTCTTGTACCAATTCTTACACAAAAGTGAAGCAACGTGAATACTGGTCAAAATCGTAGATTGCATATTAAAAAAATAATCGTGTACACCGATAGTATTCCAACAATTTTTATCTACCTTTTTTAATTTACGATGTAACGTCGACGTACATTTATTCCACCTAAATGACTCCTTTTGTAAATCGTCAATGTTAATATAAAGAAGCATTTACTTCACTAGAACGAGTTGCAATGTGAAATCTTTATTAAATTTATTAACATTATGCGTACACGGTCAGCGGATATTTTTCGTGACAAAAGATCCCCACCACATCTTCAGAGACACCCACAAAAGGCCCTACAAATCTGGTGTTTAACACTGTATTCTAAAAATCATCTCAACGTTAAAGATGGCGGACTGGGTAAGCTGAAAACTAATCGATTCGAACCTTATTAAACAAGGGACTGCATTTAATGCATAGAAACAGAACATGTTTATGCTTTTTGCATATAGAAATAACAGGTCATATCGTATAGGAATTATATTTATTCCTATACGATGTTACCTGTTATTTCTATTTCTATATTTTAATTGACAATAGCTGTGATTCTGGGTAAGGCAAGTGAAAATTCCAAAAAGAAAAAAAAAATAGTAAAAGATCCGATGAACTGGAAAAAGTCTTTAAGATAAACAATCAATCTTCAAAATATGGTTGCTAGCAAAAGGAACACGCCAAAATTCAAATTACAAATTGGAGATAGCAAAATCAAACAGGTACAAAAATTTAAATAACTACGAAATGTTTTAATAGAGGACGGAAAATGTGACACTGAAATCCGAAGGTGCATTGGGATAGCCAAAGATGCATTCCAAAAGCTAAGCAAAGTATTAAGAAAGAGGAACATTTAGTTAGAAAGAGAGTACTAAACTGTTACGTAATATCAATCTTTGTATATGGCAGTGAATGCTGGGCAATCTCCTTACAGATAACGAAGAGACTTGAAGCAACAGAAATGTGGTTCTATAGAATGCTGCTGAAGATACCATGGACCAAACATGAGCATGGACGATGTTTTAGAGAAAATGGAAACAAAAGCAAAGCTTTGTTTAGCTAATTAGAGAGAATTAGCTAACCAAGCGGGAGAAAAGAAAGAGATAAGGAGGGGAACAAGAAGCAAAATAGAACGAGAGTAACAGGGTAAGGAGTGGGAGAATCGAAAGAGAGGATTTGAGAAAGGCGGAGGAGAATGGAAAAAGTGAATTGCGGGAAGAATAGAAAGAGATCATCGGGAAACGAAGGAGGGGAACTGAAAGAAAATTAGAGAAAGAAGGAGGATAATAGAAAGAGAGAAATAGGGAGAGAAGGTTGAGAATAGAAAAAAGCATAAGTGAGGAGCGATGTGGGAGAATAGAAAGAGAGAATTGGGGAACGAATGAGGGAAATAGAAATAGTGAATTAGTGAAAGAAGAAGAGGTAGATAGAGAGAATTGGGGGACGAAGAGGGGAGGGAAAAAGGAAACTGAAGGAAGGAGGGGAATAGAAAGAGATAATTATGGAAAGAAGGAGAGGGTATATGGCAAGAACTAGGGAAAGAAGGAGGGAAACAGAAAGAGAATATTAGGGAAAGAAAGAGGGGTAGATAGAGAGAATTGAGGAGACGAAGAAGAAAATGGAAAAAAGGGAACTGAAGGAAGGAAGCAAGGAGGGGAATAGAAAGAGAAAATTAGGGAACGAAAGAGTGGGTATATGGCGAGAACTAGGGAAGGAAGGAGAGGAATAGAAAGAGAGAATTAAGGAAAGAAGGAGGGGTATATAGAGAGAATTATGGAAGGAAGGACGGGAATAGAAAGAGAGAAGTAGGAAGAGGAATGGAGTGAATAGAAATATGTTAGGAAAGTTTTGGAAATCAAGTGAAAGAATATATATATATATATATATATATATATATATATATATATATATATATATATACCTAAGTATATGATTGGTATATATGGAACGAATTCCAACAACCAACAAATACTATTCTTAAAAAGAGTGCTCAATACAAAGTAGAGCAGATATAATTATTTATTTAAAAAAAAAAAAAAAAAAAATTATAACATAAATATGTTATAAAATCACTACAAAAATAACCATTTTGTTTCAACCTCTCGGTGTCTTATCAAGATGATGATGTTGAATGTAAAATTATATATATATATATATATATATATATATATATATATATATATATATATACTTTTGATGAAACTCCATGCTTTGTACTTCTGATTGGATCAAAGTTCACTCAAGACTGCTAGTATCAGTCTTCAAGGAAATAATTGAATCCTGCTATGCTTTATCTTTACAACAGTAAGATAAAAAAAAAAAAAAATTATGCATCGCTGCCATGTCTGGAGCGACTCAATCGTCACTGTCTAGATTTGATAGAGTACGCAGTCATTTATGCGTTCTTGTGTGGGAAGATCTTTCCTCCATTTTGACGTCGCAACTTTTTCTACAAACGCATCCTCTTATGCCTATCGCTACTCTATTACCATTTCCACGGCAAATGTTCAACCGAACTTCATTCTTTTGTTCCACCAGTTCAGGCTTTTACAGCTAGGCAATACCATGCTACTTTCATCGAGTCGAAACACCCGAATTTCCTCGGTGTCTCAAAGAAAATAAGTTTCATTCAGACAGCTTTATCTCAAAAACTGCCACTTTGGTGAACTGGCTCTTGCGTGCGTACTTCCCTGAACTCTACAATCTTAACCGCTTCAAGTTAAGTCCATTTTTTTATCTGCCCTCCTTAATCTCATAATCTTCGCTTTTTACGATCTATTCTTTCATTCATTACACACACACCATTCGTCATCATCGTTTTAACAGTAACCCTCTACCTTGAGTGACTCGCGAACCTTGTAAGAGAGGGAAGAGATTGATGGAATAGATTGAAGATACTAAAGATCGGTGGACAGGTTAGTTGTACTTGCTATCACGATACAATGAACACTGAAAAGCGGATAGGATTGGGAAAACTTTAAATTTACGATGTATTAAAATTCTTCATGGAGAGTTAAATCAAAAGAAATATAACAATAAGGATGGAGTAGAAATTATTTGTGCATTTCTTATTCCATTTATGTATATGTTGTAACATAGAAAAGGTTATTGAATGAGGAATAACTAAAACAGAGGTTGGAAATGAAATGGTAATCTTTATAACATCAACAAAATACAATACTCGCTAGCGGCGTGAAGCAGATAAACCACTGCTAGTGGTGGACTACTTAGACAGCATAATAGCCCTACTTACAGTAGTGTCCAACGTATTTATGAGGATTGGGGAATACCCATTACTGTTCATAGGTACTGTATATAACAATATATGAAAATGATCCATGTTTTTACAAGATTCAAATAAGAACCAGATAGAACACCAAAGATTCAAAGGGATAAGGTAGAGAAAGAGAAGATACAGATAAAAGCTACGAAAAGAACTGAGTATTGTTCTAAACTCCAACACTTGCGAAACTTCCACGGGTTCAGCTAGTTTATTTGGATGAATATCCACACGTTTTCGGTTTTGCCACGCTGTATCAGCCGACGCATTCCTTGACCATTTTAGTTACAATCTAGTATTTTGAGACGATGTATTGTCCTAAATTATTCTGCCTGTTATCTTAATCTTTGTTGTCTTGATTTCTGGTACGGCCAATGTGTTCTTCTGTGTTTTTAGTACAATATGGAATTCTGAGATTATGCATTGTTATTATTATTGCAGATATTGCCAGAATTGAGTCTTGAAGTAACACAGATGTGGTCCCACCGACGAGTGCTGTGAATTAGACAGAGGAAAATGTGAAAGAGAAATTCAAATACGCATAGTTTAAGCAAAAGTGCCTTTTGTAAATCAAGCAAAATATTAAGAGATGGGATGAGATCCTTAGAAAGAAAGAAAATAGTACAAAACTGCATTGTAATGTCTACTTTTCTACTATGTGGCAGTGGATGCTGAAGGGGAATAGAAAGAGAAAATTAGGGAACGAAAAGAGGGTATATGGCGAGAACTAGGGAATGAAGAGAAATAGAAAGAGAGAAATTTAAAGAAGGAGAGAACTAGAGAATTATGGAAGGAAGGAAATAGAAAGAGAGAAAAGAGAGAATTAAGAAATAGAAAGTTTGGAAATCAAGTGAAAGAATATATATATATATATATATATATATATATATATATATATATATATATATATATATATATACTCTTGATGAAACTCCATGCTTTTGTACTTCGATTGGATCAGAAGTTCACTCAAGACCTTAAGTAGAACTCATCCATCTAATTTATAGGTAAAGATACTGGAAAAAATTGCTCGTATCAGTCTTCTGATCCAATCGAAGTACAAAGCATGGAGTTTCATCAAGAGTGTATATATATATATATATATATATATATTCTTTCACTTGATTTCCAAAACTTTCCTAACATATTTCTATTCTCACCATTCCTCTTCTTATTTCTCTCTTTCTATTCCCGTCCTTCCTTCCATAATTGTGACAGATGAAGAAGAGACTTGAAACAATAATCATCAAATTCTACTAACAAATAATGAGAATAACATGGGTAGAACATGTGAGAAACGAGGAAGTTTTAAAGAAATGTAATGCCTAATCTCTTACTATATACTACCTCTCTTCCATAATAGTTGTTACATTTAATTTACGAAAAATATAGCTGGAAATATACGAATTATGATGGGACAAAGGAGCAAAACTAATTTTGAGAAGAGCTATTGATCTTTTGGGCTGTTGGGTTTACAAAATAAAAATACAGGACATGTTCCAATTTAAATTCAAATAATTTCTAAGAAGATTTTTAGTACATAAGTTTGTCTCATGCATTCATGTTTAATTGCATTTAGAAAACAGGAAAATGTCTATAGAAACAAAGAAAAAAAATCTTCTAAAATATTATGTGATATATATGTGATATATATGGCGGTGATTGTTGGACAATCTCTTCACAGATGAAGAAGAGACTTGAAACAACGGGGATCATGTTCTACCGGCAGATACTAAGAATGACATGGCCACAACATTTGAGAAATGAGGAATTCTTAAGGAGAATAGGAGCGACAAGAAAACGTATACTTACAATCAGAAAGAGACATGGAATTTCTGGGTCGCATAATGAGGACTGGAGAATATAACACACACAGGACATAAAAGTAAGAACAGAAAGGGGAAAACCGCAGATAAATAAAACCACATCTGTCCCATAATAGTTCATACATTTTATGTATGAAAAAATATATCTGCAGGTGTACCAAATATTATGGGAAATAATATTATGGTAATAGCCAGAAGCAAAATAATTTTGAGAATATCTATTGTTCTTTTAGGTTGCTGGATTTGCAGAATAGAAATACAGTTCACACAATAGGAAAAATTTAACACCCGCAGAGTATACCGAAGGCATGAAACCGAGTAATCTACTCATAGCCTTTGTGTGAATGGAATGTACAACAAGGCTATAAAGATTAAAAGTCAAAAGTTACTTAAAGCAAAAAAAAAAAAAAAAAAAAGATAGAAAGTTGTGAAAATCCATGATTACCCTTACATAGAACATAAAAGATGATCCATTCAGGTTATAGGCAGTCAAGTGTCTCCACAGCTTCTCCCGTTTTAATATCTGTGAATTGTCATGAATCCTTGGGAAAAGATAGTTGAATGATTCCCTTTTGCCTTTTCCATAGTTTTGAACTTAAAATGGTCCTTCTAGAAAAAATGACACCCAAAGTAGAACAGGTTCTACTCTACTATTTAATAAGTACTTGGGTGGGGATGATGAAGAGATGGTTTCCGGCCTTTTCCAAGGTTATTAGTGTTAAGTTAACGTAACTAATTCGGTCAGAATTGCTTTTACACTAACCTAACATCCGTTATTAAAGTTTAAGGTAAATTAATTTAAGATGAACATGTATTAACTGTTCAACTTGGAACGTACCGATTGTTTTTTTTTCCTTTGTTTTACCAGTTAGCTTAGAGAGTAAGTGTATCAAAATTCAAAGCAACGAACGAAGTTAAATGCCAGCGCACGACCCAGACAGATGGAAAATTTTCTGTTAAGGCGTGACGGGGCATTTTTATAGCCAGGAAAGAAAATTGCATGAATTGAGTGTCCAACAACGCAAGTTTTGCTACAACAATAAGTATAAGGTCAAGCACTCAGTCAATTAAGTTAGAATCGGGGGTGGGCACAGGAGAAAGACGAGGTTTGGAGACACAGAGAGGAACGGAAGACGGGAGTCAAACATGTTACATTGATATTCGTAATGCAGATTTGTTTCAGAAAAGACATATAATATAGTCATTGAAGCATTTTTTATTTATTTATTTATTTTTATTTTATTTTTTTTAAAGAGGCTATTGACAAATATTCCACGGTAGGATCGGTCACCTACAATTGGTTGGAAGTCCCCCTGGGAATTGGGAAGAGAACGGAAAGACGTGTTCGACGCCTAGCTTATAAGGGAACAAGCAAAAAAGAAGGGAGGCGTGAGAAAGACACAAGAGGTGTCCGTCTATTTCGTCAGGTGTTTGTCTCATGAGGGGCTCAATCCTCTCGCTACAATCACTTTGGCCCCAACTTAATTCTACCCCAACGATACGATTTTCCCCACCTAATTTTTTTTTTCCCATTTTTTTTTTTTTTGTTTTCATTGGCAAACTACAACAGATGTTCATTTAAGATTTAGGAGGTCCGTCAACGTTGGTACCAAAAAAGAGCTAAAAGAAAACTTATTGACGATTGGTAAACGCAGGGGCAGCCTCCAAACATGTGAGGCTTTTTATCTCTATTGACTTGTTTTTTGTTGAAAGCCGGCGGTTAATAAGGTAAAACGGTAAATAAACACCAGCCGAAGCTCTTTCAAGCTTATCTCATTACAAACACACATACGCACGCGCATGCGCGCACACAGGCACAAACGCACACACATACGATCAGCGATAGGGCGACAACACACGTATCTCTAGAGTTACATACATTTACGCACATCTAGAATTACATGAACCCAACAGAAACACATGCACACAGATATTATGTTACAATTACGCACCAAAACTGAGAGAGAGAGAGAGAGAGAGCGTGAATGAGAGAGAGAGAGAGAGAGAGAGAGAGAGTGAATGAGAGACAATGCGTAAGAGAAGTAGAGAGGACATGAGATAGATAAAAGAGAAAGCCTGAACGAGAGAAAAGAGAAAGAAAAATAGTAATAGAGACTGGGGAGGAAAAGCAAAGGAAGAAGGCAAGAAAGAGAAAGGAAGGGAGGGAGAGAGGGAGAGAGAGAATGATTGAATGAGAAAAATGTCTTAAGAGAAAGAAAAAAGGACATAAGAAAGAAGTAGAATATAAAGGAGAGACCTGACAAGAGAAGGAGAGTGAGAAAGACCGGACGGTAGGAGGAGAGAAAGAAAGTAAAAATGTAAAAAGAGTTGTGTGTATGTAAGATAGATAGATAGAGAGGGAGAGGGAGAGGGAGAGAGGGAGAGAATGTATATATATATATATATATATATATATATATATATATATATAACGAGATAGAGGAAGCTTGAACGAGAGACAAGGTTTACGTGGAAGAGAATGAGAGAGAACGTGAAAAAGAAAGTGTGTAAAAAATAGATGGAGTCAGACAGGGAAAGAAAGAAAGAAAGAAAGAAAGAAAGAAAGAAATAGAGTGACTGGGCGGGTGAAGAAAGAAAAAAAAACGCGAGAAACAGTGAAAGAGTGAGAAACGGAGTGAGAAAGTGGAAGAAGCTGAATGAGAGACTAGGCTAAACAGAAATAGTATGAGAGAGATGACATGGGAGAGAAGGAAAGGGAATGAGAGACTAGGCTAAAGATAAAGATTATGACAGAGAGAGATGGCATGGGAGGAAAAGAATGAAATAGAGAGTGAGAGAGAAACTTGTGAGAGAGAGAGAAAAAGAGAAAGAAACCGGAGGGGAAAAGGAAAGAAAAAAGAGAAAACAGAAACAATGAGAGATGGATATATATATATATATATATATATATATATATATATATATATATATATATATATAGAGAGAGAGAGAGTGAGAGAGAAAGAGGAGATGGGGCTGTGTATACGTTAGAGAGAGAGAGAAGAGATAAGAAGAACTTTCGATCTTCACAGTCATCAATTTCACTCGCATCACTGTGTTCACGACTTCAGAAAAATGGATTCTTTCATGATTTGGGAAACGTTTTTGTTGAATGATTTCAAAGTGGGCTTTAAGCATAAAATTGAACTAATTTCGCTAGATATTCCAAGAAGAAAAATTGTCATGGGATTTGTTATTAGGTTTCGTAGAATTCAATAGAAGCGGTTTGTCAAAAGCAGAGTTGTATAAGAAAAAGAATATGTTTCATAAGGGATTGGGCGTGTAAGACATTGTTTACGAGGAACTGCTCGATCTGGATGACATTGCAAGCAAGTGCAAAGTATCTCTGAAGCAGCCGACACGAGCGTGCGTGCACATCTCCAATAATTGCATAAAATCCCTCTGATGCACAACTATCCTAGATCATGTACTGTATTGATGTCCTGCGAAAAACTGTTGCAGTGATGGTTGAATGGTTCTGCCGCATTTCCCCTGTTCGCTAGACTGTTACCTCTAAATGCAATTTTTTTTCCATTCGATTGGTGATTGATTAAGATTTTTTGAAGTAACCATGATAGCAAAAGTGGAAATTTTTGATGTTGGAGATTTTGGGTAGCTTGGTGTACTAGTGAGCCAGCCAAAATGAGCTGACTCATTTTATAGTTCACCAATAGAAGGGTTAACCAATCAGAAGACTCAAAATATTCAATGCGACATGTATAAAGGCGGCCATGTTTTTCCCCAATACTTACTGCTAACCTTTGTTCGTGAGTGTTAAACTTTAACGTTGTTTCATTGAACAGATTACGTACTGCGCTGTATTCTATATTCAAAGACTATGGTGAACATGGTCAACATTTGATTCAAATTCGGTGACATCACAAAATACAACTTGATTTACTTACACGTTAGTAGAAAGTACTAAAGTTTATCAGTGTCACGCCATCAAGCAAAGGCAATGATTAAGAAGCATGTCTTTTGTAGAAATTTTGCCATCTCAGTTGCTTCAGACTTGCTTGTGGTGTAATTTTTTTTATTTTAATCATTTCAATCGAAGAAAGGCGGGAATACCATTAGTACGCAGGGGGCTACAGAGAGTGAAGGTGAGAGAAAAGACTGGGTATGGGGGGCACAGAGAAAATGGATAAAAGCTGAACGGGGTTCAAGAAGATAGAAGATGGCGATTGACATTGCCGTTACATTTTTTAAGATTGTAGTACCATGTACCGTGTTGTAAAATGATAAGAAAATATCGATTACGCTAAAGAATTTTTTGAGAAAGAATAAAATTTATTGACTGCATAAAAGGTCAAAACACATTATATATATATATATATATATATATATATATATATATATATATATATATATATATATATATATATAATTATTTTTAAAAATATGATTCCCTCGCTACATAAGAGTTCTCATGTTTCAAAAACGAGAGCCGAAAACCTCAATATAATTATTAAAATTAAATTGAATTAAAGTATCAAGCCCTGTTTCATCCTCAAGCGAAAATTTAGGAATAATTAAAAAAAAAATAATTATAATTTAAGCTCTACTTCTGTATGGAGGACAGTTTTTAAAAAATAAAAAAAATAAATACTAAAATGCAAAAAGAACTCCGGATTACCCTTACATAGAACATAAAAGATGATCCATTCAGGTTATAGGCAGTCAAGTGTCTCCACAGCTTCTCCCGTTTTAATATCTGTGAATTGTCATGAATCCTTGGGAAAAGATAGTTGAATGATTCCCTTTTGCCTTTTCCATAGTTTTGAACTTAAAATGGTCCTTCTAGAAAACACACACACACACACACACACACACACACACACACACACACACACACATATATATATATATATATATATATATATGCCCAAGTATAAAATTGATGTATACGGAATAAATTCCAATAACGAAAAAATATTATTCTTAAAAGAGTTCTCAATACAGAGTAGAGAAAATATAATTTATTCGAAAATTATAACATAAATATGTTAGAAAATCACTACAAGAATAACCATTTTGTTTCAACACCTCTGGTGTTTTATCAAGTGATGTTGTTGAACGCACACTGATTTCCACATCAAGCGTCGAAAGATTATTTCATGCTTGAACGCAATCTCAGGACATGGCCTGAAGCTGGTGTTGGCCCCAGTGTCCACTTCTATATTTACGTACGCTCTGATATTTTTACTCATATTTTTGATTGTAAGAATAATTCATTTTTTTCCGAGTGAACATTGCAGTAACACTATTTTGGAGATAACAATGACTCTTTCAGATACAAACCATACTATTTAACCCATAACTGAGGGAGAGAAGAGTTGTATGTCTACCTTTCCTAAGGTTATTTGCGCCTATGTGAATGTAACGGACTCGACTCGAACTGGAAGACAGCTCATTGATTTCCATTACGCCACACGCACATCCATATAATCTGATATGTCAAGGTCAGTACGCTCAAAAGCTCGGTCACAATGACTTGTGACTTCGTGCTAGCATACATATCAACCCAATTTAATTCCTACGATATGTATTTCAGGCACTTTTTAACAATGCTGCATGTTGATTGGTTTGGTTTATTTTGTTTTACGACATATCAACCTCAATGGGTTATTTAACGCCGACAAAATTTTTATTGTTGGAAATTTTTTTTTTCACAAAATGTATTGCTGGTAATTTTTAAAAAAATTGTATTGCTGGTAATAATTTTTACAAAGTATTCTGGTATTAAAACCTATTTTTACATTTTCATAGTGTTTTGACCCCAATTTGGGGGACAACTATTTACCGATAGGTGGGACCCCAACAGGTTCTACCACCCCGGGCAGGGTGGACCTGGGAACACCAGCAATTAAGAGGTGGTTCCACGCTCCTCAAAATCTGATCAGAGACCTTGCTGTTGGATGTAGTTTATCGTCTTACACAGGACGCGGATGTAGTTTATCGTCGTACCCAGGACGCGGATGTAGTTTATCGTCGTACCCAGGACGGGCTGCATGTTGAGATCGCCTCCCCAGTAGGGCAGGTTGTTTTTGCACTTTCTTTTAGAAATTCAATATTACACGCCCTGTAAAAGTTGGGGTTTGATATGATCAGCATTAACAACAAAAATTAGATTCATAGCCTTTTTCAATTTTCGAGCATTTACTTTTAAATATCGTCTGAAAAATGTACAGAAGTATCTAATTTCCGCAGGTTTTTGCTTATAAACTGACTTCAAAATTTTACTATTTCAAGAATAAATCCAAATAAAGTTAATATCTTTTGTATTAGATACATTGAATGGAAATATATATATAAACAAGAATGGTAATTAGGAATCACCACAAGCAAAATATGCAGTTCTTTTTTTACTGTATTCGATAAATAAAAACTGTGTAAAAGAAGTTTACAAAAAAGGCTACTCAATGACTAAGATTTGTTAGATAATTTGTCAGATCATCTTACTTATTATAAAACGCAGATTGTGTGTGTGTCTGTACGTTTATATATTGGATCGGATTTCCTACATTTTTCAACCGATTTCAACAAAACTTCACAGGACTGCGTAAAATTACCTTGCAGTGGTTCTGACAGCTTAAAAAATTGGAAAAACACATTTTTTTTGCACGAAATCAATTTGAAAACACGATTCTGTCGCCAGAATGAAAGGGGGACAACTCATATCGAGTTATACTTATAAAACCCAGGTTGTTTGGTGTGTGTGTGTGTGTGTGTGTGTGTGTGTGTGTGTGTTCATTTATATATGGGATCGGATTTCCTACATTTTTCAACCGATTTCAACAAAACTTCACTCTTTTTTTTTTTTGGCAGGTAGTGTTTCTTATTGTCTTGCACACTTTTTTCTTTATTTCTACATTCAGAATGCTTTACAAATTCCATTTACAATTGTTTATAATAAAATTCTATTCAATCGGTAGACTCATAACGATTGTAAACAATGTTTTTGTTTGAGTTTGGGTTTGGGTTTGACCAATTCGTAAAAAAAAAAAAAAAGAAAACTAATTAAGACATGCGTGTCCGTCAACCTTAAACAATAATCTTTGTCAATTTTATTTTTCAGTCTTTATGATGGTCGATACTTGATCTTTCTCTTACTGTTACATCCCTGGGCAATGCCGGGCTCTACTGCTAGTAATTAATATAAGCAAGCAAAAAAAAAAAAAAAATAATAATAAAAAAAAACACAGATAAAAATGTATATAGCTACGGCTGGGCACAAATTATAAAACAAAATGCTTTAAATTTGTCTTGTTTATTAAAAATCACAATAAAACTACTGCACTGTACAATATATTGCATCATAATATAGCTAAATTGTTCAGTATAATTTCCCTTTTAAGCAAATGATGATCTTATTTGATGGCACAATGATTTAGTCATAATGAGCTTGTGACATATACAATTTTTAAATGTTGAGGAAATTTAATATTTTATAAGGTTGTGCTTATAAAGGTTTCACTGATCACCGGAATGAATCGAACACTTTGATTTTGAACCCAAAAGTAATCTTTAAACTCGTTTCCTCAAAAAGTGGTAATGAGTTAGAGAAAAATATTTTGTGACATTATTTATCATGTCAAGCCCCAACTTCAAAATACCACGGTTCCAAAATCGACCTGGCCTACTCCCTAGGCCGCAACCATCAACATACAGAAGTCACCACCCCCTTGACAAATCGACTATAACCCGAGCCAGAACCAGAAAGCAACCATTCTGCCACGCGTCTTATATATATATATATATATATATATATATATATAAAGAAATATATATAATTCGTTACATGCACAACTCGAATTTCATACCGAAAAAATTCTCAAGTGCTGGAAATTTTATTCTGGGTTGACACCGGTTTTT